AAGAGAAAGTGAAAACAACGGTAACAAGGAAGTGCCAGAATAAGAGAACGTGAAAACAACAGTACCAAGGAAGTGCCAGAATAAGAGAACGTGAAAACAACAGTACCAAGGAAGTGCCAGAATAAGAGAACGTGAAAACAACAGTAACAAGGAAGTGTCGGAATAAGAGAACGTGAAAACAACAGTAACAAGGAAGTGCCAGAATAAGAGAACATGAAAACAACGGTAACAAGGATGTGTCAGAATAAGAGAACATGAAAACAACAGTAACAAGGATGTGCCAGAATAAGAGAACATGAAAACAACGGTAACAAGGAAGTGCCAGAATCAGAAGATAACGTGAAAACAACAGTAACAAGGAAGTGCCAGAATAAGAGAACATGAAAACAACAGTTACAAGGAAGTGCCGGAATATTCGAGTACTTAAAAAAGTGGCTAAGTAAATTATTATGAAATTATTTCCGTAAATACGCGAAACATGAGACAGCACGATAAACGTAACATAAAAATGTATTATATACACAATATATGTTTTTAAGATATTTTACTATACTGTACTTATTATACTAAGACGTGTGAACTTTCAAATCATTAAGTTGGTATTTCCAATTTAATTTTGGGTTTTTAACTCTGGTCAATTGAGATGAAAAATTTCGTAAAGACATGACTTACTATAATGAAAACCTTGACGTTATAAGTATCTATTGTGGTTACGTTGTATTTATAGTAGAACTTGATGTTAGTATAAAAGATAAGCGATTATGAAAGAAGAAACATATCTGTTTGACAGTGGATTGTTTGTTTTGAATTTCTCGCAAAGCTACACGAGGGCTTTCTGCGCTAGCCGTCCCTAATTTAGCATTGAAAGGGGGAAGGTAGCTAGTCATCACCACCCATCGTCAACTCTTGGGCTACTCTTTTACCAACGAATAGCAGGATTGACCCTCGAATTATAAGGTCCCGACGTCTGAAAGGGCGAGCATGTTTGGTGGGAACCCGCATATTGCGAGTTGAGCACCCTAACCACCTGGCCATGCCGAGCCGTGACAGTAGAACAAGCAAAGAGAATATTATATATTCGGCTATCTCCTGTATCCACTGTATGGAATCGAACTCCGGGTTTGAGCATTGTAAATCCGTAAACTTACCGCTGTCTCACCGGTGTCCCCCAGTGACACAGCGGTATGTCTGCGGATTTACAACGCTAGAAACCGGATTTCGATACCCGTGGGGGCAGAGTACAGAAAGTCTATTGTGTAGCTTTGTGCTTAACTTCAAACAAACAAACAAGTCTCACCGGTAGACATATATACATTTATATAAGTGTGACAATGAAATAACACAAGAAAATGTACATGTGTATGTGTACTATATATATCTATATATATATATGATAATGAAAGAAAAATATAGAAACATATGATTTAACAAAGGAACACACATAGAGAAATATATATATGTATGTATGTGTCAATGTAACAAACATAGAAAAATAAGCCATTTTTAACGATCCCAAAGTACTAAAAATGGCCAAACGTTTTCAAATCAATCTTTTGAATATAAGGTAATGTTTTATTTTCAAATAAACGTCAAAATACATTTATAGTTTCATACAAATCACAATAAAGACATAGCTTCATGAAAATCACGGCATAGCCATAATTTAATTCAAATCACAACATAGACATAGTTTCATCCAAATCATAATAAAGACATAGCTTCATCCAAATCATAATACAAACAACCAGAGTTTCATCCAAATCACAATACAAACAACCAGAGTTTCATCCAAATCACAATACAAACAACCAGAGTTTCATCCACTGAAACTAAATCTGCTAATGATATTATCAGCTTGTACAACTAAAGTTTTAGATGCGACTTGAGTAACAGTTTCATAAAGATACCGACATATAATGAAATAAAAGTTTTATAATAATACCGACATATAATGAAATAAATTTTTTATAATGATACTGACATATAATGAAATAAAATTTATATAATGATACTGACATATAAATATTTTGTAATGATACTGACATGTAATAAAATAAATATTTTGTAATGATACTGACATATAATAAAATAAATATTTTGTAATGATACTGACATATAATGAAATAAATATTTTGTAATGATACTGACATATAATGAAATAAAAGTTTTATAATGATACTGACATATAATGAAGTAAAAATTCTAAAATGATACTGACATATAATGAAATAAAAGTTTTATAATAATACTGACATATAATGAAGTAAAAATTCTAAAATGTTACTGAATATAATAAAATAAAAATTTTATAATGACACTGACATATAATGAAATAAAAGTTCTAAAATGATATTGACATATAATAAAACAGAATGTGTATCAAGATACTAACTTAGTTTAGGTTATGGATAGCTGGATAACTTTTAATTAAACTATAGACTGGAGGACGAGTCTAAAATACACTTTAATAGGAAAACAGGTTTTGAGGATAATTTGATGAAAGCAGATGTTAATCCAAATGAAGGGGATTTTGTGTATTTGTTATCATAATAACACGTAGTAACTACGAATTATGTTGTGTAAGATATTTGAATATCTAAAGCTGAGAACGGAGAAGTATATTGTGTAATACTAGAAGTTCTGAACATGAGAAAGCCGTTCTTAAACTTGTGACAGAACACGTTAAATGACTCAAGACTATAATTGTTTTTGTAAGAATTGTTTGTTTGTTTTGTTTTTGTAATTAAGCACAAAGCTACGCAATGGGCTATCTGTGCTCTGCCCACCACGGGTATCGAAACCCGGATTCTAGCGTTATAAGTCCACAGACATGCCGCTGTGCTACTGGCGGGCGTTTTTTTTTTTTGTAAGAAAGTGATGCCCATACCTCCTGCTATTCATTAAGTAAAGTCGAACGATAATAGCGTTTAACGTATACATTCCGTCTTAGTGTTCGAACATAAAAAACAAAAATCAAAACAATACCTAAATTCGAGTTGGGGATAAATGGCCAGGTCAGAGAGCTCTTGGATTTAGGTATAGTCATTCCTGGCTTTGAACTACTTAACAAAGGGAAAGCAACAAGTCAACAACACAAATCATCATGTGGACATTTTCCTGCTTTTGTGCAACAAACAGCCTTGACTGTGACTCTTATAATGCATCCATAGCTGAAAGTGTGTTGAATGACATTTCTAAGTGAACATTGAACGTTTTGTGCTCCCAGCTAACCACTAGCCTACGCTCAGCCCCTAAATTCGAAATTCAATTGAAGCGAAACGGATAATATTTTGACCAATTCAAAAATCATTAGCGAAAATAACATACTTGATGTTGCAAACGATTTATGATTATTCATCTATTATTAAATTGAGTGTAAACAAAGGGGCTTTAGACAAGTTAATCGTTCTTACGAATGTAAAATCTTAGAAACGAGAGTAAGCAGCAAACTAATAACTCTACAAGAGTTTAGAATCTGATTAAATATTATGAAGCTGAGATTTTGTGCTGGAAAATTAACATACTAGTGAAATAAAAGTTTTAAACGTAAGAGAAACATTTTAGTGATGCTAAAATTTTAAACATAACTCTGGCATGCTAGTAATATTAAAGTTTTAAATTCGAGGTCAGCATGCTAATGATATTAAAGTTTTAAACAAACGATTAGTATGCTAGAGATGCTAGCATTTTAAACATAATGCTAACATGTTAGTAATATTAA